TTTTAAGCATATAGATTTTAAGGATTTTGTTTATATACTCACATGGTTGTTAAAGAAATTTTCCCTTGGTTTTAATTTTTAGTTCTTTGAATATATTTGGAGAGTTTTGTTGGAAGTTCATCAGTTTGCAGCTTCTAGTATGTAACTTCAAGAGTTAAAACTCAATTGTAAATGTTTCCATGACATCCAAAATAGTAAAGAATCACCTATTATAGCATATCATTAGCTGTTGGATTACATGCATTTGGTTAAGTTCTTCGATGTGTAATCTGGGCAGCAGCAGATTGGTGAGTCCTGTGGGGTCAGGAGGGCTTCAGAGCTGAAATGCAGTTGCTGTGAACTTTGATGAGACATGCAGAGGCATAGATTAGAGCAATTCAAATTCCTTCGAATACTACTGTTCAACATTCACTTTGGGGTAAGAATTCTGGAAAATCTGAGCAATTAAAAATATCTTGTGTTTAAAAATATTTACTTATCTGTCCTCTCAGTCACTGGGAAACATTTTCATTGAAATTCTTGACTTGTGAGAACGGCCTTTTCTTTTCTGGAGCTACTGATGTTTTTTGCACTACTCTGCTTTTCTCAGCCATCCCCATGCATTTCACGTCTTTAATAGATCCACAGTGATGTGCTTTTTGCACAGTCTGAATCTGTGTCGTCTTAGTCTTGTGTTGGCACAGTAATTCTTTTAAATGATATTAACATTTTTCTTTACTGTTATTTTTGGTGGAACCATTGAGATTAGGGGCCGAGAGAAAACAAGTCTATTGTAAATTTCTTTGAATGTGACAATGGCTCCAGAACTCACTGAGTTCCTCATTCTTGGCTTTTTGTAATATTCCTGTGATCACTCATGTAACTTAATAATTATTTTCCAAAGAAAGATCAAAAGGAGGGGAGTCATCTCCTGTGTTGTTATTTATAAAAACTCACAGCTCACCAGAGTTATTGATTTTGTCTTTTTTTTAAAAAATATACACATCACAATGTTAAGGCTAAGTACAATTTAAAACTTTACAAAATTGTTTTTGTACTGTGTGTGTGTGTGTGTGTGTGTGTGTGTGTGTGTGTGTCCTTTGGTAGGCTAGGGTTAAAACTGGATGTCTTCTATCTCTTTCCTCATTTATTTCCAGACAGGGTCCCTCACTGGATCTATAGCTCACCCATTTGTGTAAAATGTTGGCCAATCAGTTCCAGGGATTGGCTTGTCACTGTGTCCCTAGCAGTTGGATTGTAAGTGTACAAAAGCACGTCCAGCTTTTACATCAGGGCTGAGGATCTGAATTCGGGTCTTCATATTTGCATAGCAAGCACTTTACAGGTGGATCTAGCTCTCCAGTTCCCATGTACATTTATTTTACCATCTTCTTAGGGAGCAGTATTTCCTGCCGGGCAGCCGGGACCTATGTCTCTGAGCCACTGTACTCATGTTCTTGAGCTCTTGCTGGGAATGTAGGACAGCCTTTGCACATTTGCCTCAGTTGGTCTAGCAAAAGACCTGTCTGGACCCAGAAAATTACAAACAAACTAGGCTCCTATTCCTTAAGAAAATTTCCACACAGTGATGCAAGTCTCTGGGGTGGTTAGAAATGCTGTGTCAAAGCTCGTTTGCTGTTCTCCATATATGTTTTCCCTCTATTTTAAGGATACTTCTTTGGTAAGTTCACACAAAGATTCAATGTTTTTAATTGTAACTTCCTACTCCCCTAACTGCTATCTTGCCCATCTTCCTCCCAAATTCTTATCTGGTGCTTTACATTTTTCTTAAATATTTATTTTACTTGGCAGGCCGTACTGCTGTAGAAAGCTGACCCTCCTTTCAGCAATATCAATTGCCAAGAGCTCTCAACTAGGGATGGAGCTGCATGGCCCCTCCTCTAGCCATGTTGGAGTGTGTGACAGCTTGATCTTGTATAGGTCTTGTGCAGGTGCCACAGCTTCTGTGACTTCATGTGTGCAATGTTCCTGTCATATCCAGAAAACACTATTTTGAAACAGTTCTCCCCAGCCTCTGATTCTTAGGATCTTTCCATCCTCTCTTTGATGATGTTTTCTGAGTCTTTGTGGAAAAGGACACTTCATCCTCTTTCTCCCTCTCATTTGGAGTTGTTGCTGTCTCATGAGACAAATATTTTAAAGCTAAATTGACTTCCTTGTCAGTTTTACTCAAATGAATTAGGGGTAAATCTCTGGTCATGAAAAACCCTGTGTTTATTGTTTTATAAAGTTTAAAAGTGATAGGCACCCCCCATGTTTCCAAAGGCTACTATAAATGTATACATCTTTAGCCTCTCATGACTTTACTTATCCCTCATGTTGGTGCCTTGGCAATGTATTACAAAAGTTCTTTGCAATACACAAGAGAAATCCTGACTTTACAACCTCATGTTCTGTACTTGGTAGTATAAAGGCACTTTGCACAGACAGTGGGACAGAGGACAGCATGGGTCATCACTGAAGCAAAAGAGCCCATGGTTTTTGTCTTTGGTATAGGATGGCTGTAACCACATTCCATGACCATAAAAGAAAGAACACAGTCTAACAGGGAAGTGACAGCCAGCTCATAGGACTGGTTGAACTTGAGCCCGAGGGACAAATGTCACTGCATGCATGGAGTTCTAGTCTGAAGTGCCTCTCTAGAGCCTTTCAGCCTCCACCTGATACCAATGGGAAGGGAAGGCCTTCATTTTGGCCAGTGGAGTCACCTGAAGGGGAGCAGGTTTCTGGCCACTGTTTTTTTGTCACTCAGCTCTTCTTAGCTTGTGCCAGGGTTTTAGTTTTGATTTTTAGGCTATATGAGCACCAGAAGAAAAGTAAAGAATAAACGATTTTATGATGATTGTTGATTCATCAATACCACAGACACAGTGGCAGCTGTGTTTCCTGGGGTTTTGTTTGCACAATATGGAGAATGAACTGACCATCCTAAGGAGTCAAGACCTAAGCATAGTAGGCATCTCAAAGACGGGCTTCTCTGCCTCTCTTCCACAGAATGTTTGTACATGTTAACTGAGATGGTGAGTCTTTCATGGGTGACTGAGGTGATCTTAGGTACAAGATAAAGAATTCTGTCCCACTCATTTACTTTGTCCTTTTCAAGTTTTTTCAGATTGAAGCCATTACATACATCCACCCCCACTCCCAGCACTGTGCTAGTAACAAAATGAAGGCAGGGAGCTGAAGACTTATCTCACAGTATTAAGTAACTAGATTGAAATACATACCATGCAGTTTAACCATTTAACAGACAGGTTAGTAGATTTTCGGTACTCATGGTATTTAAGTTAATCTCAGGGTCATATCAATGCTTTTCCTTCACAACCCCTCTACTCCCAGTCCTGTATCTGCCCCTTCCTTTAGGGCATCACCTCAGTTGGGGGTGGGGGGACGACGACTGACCATGCACAGAGGCTTTTCAAGTGCTACTTCATTCTGTGGTCCCGACAACCTTGAACTTTATGAACAGTGACAGTAGTTCCCAAATCCCAGCACCTTTTTAGCATAGCTATTGTCTCATTTACTGCACACGGAGACCGCTGCTTTCACTTTCAGTTTCTCCCCCCACCACTGTGCACCAACTCTGCTGCCTTAGCCTCCTAGTTTTTCAGTGCTTATTTAGTTCTATTGCTTGTTCTTGGAGACCAAACCTGGCACCTTGTGCATGCCTGGCCAGTGCTCTGCTGCTGACCCAGTCCCAGCCCTCCTTCACTCAAGCTGGCTGGGCTGCTTTTAGAAGGGAAGAGGTTAGGAGCCATTGGGATTTTGAAGCTTCTAAAGACTAGACACTTCACAGACCTTGTTGTTTTTAATCAGGAAAAGAACATTTTTATTCAGAGAAGGTGTATGGGGACTACTTGAGGGCTCTAGCCATGCAACAGTTGCCTCTAATCCTTGGTTCTTAAATGCTTTTTATTATTATTTTATTTTAAAATACGTGTATGTATGGGTTTGTGTGTGAGTTTGTAAGTATGAATGTGTAAATACAGTTGCACATAGAGACTGGAATTACAGAATTGTGAAATGAGCCATGGGAGGGTTAGGACCAGGCCTCTGGTCCTTCGCAAAGGCAGCATGCACTGTTAGCAGCTGAATCATCTCTCGATCTCTGAATCCTCAGTTCTGAGTTAAAGATAACAAAACTATTTCCTTTTCAAAAAAACTCCCACGTGGTGTTTGTTTTTTAACCTAAGATTTGCTTCCCCCCCCCCTGCAGCTGATAGATGCTGCCTACTAGCAGTTAGCAAACTTATGTATACTGTGAAGTAATTTCTGTGCAAACATTTCTGCAATGAGCATTTTATTGTTGTTAAACACAGTTTTAAAATGCCACGTGAGAAGCATGCTACAGCGTGCTGGAACATCAGGGGCAAGCTGAGGAGTGGACGGGAGCTTCTGTGACTATGGACAAGCAATTGAAATAAGAAATTCCTACAAACCCCAGCGTGCAAAAATATTCAGATTATTGGCTCTTTCAGAGGTTTAGACATTTTATTTAAATACCTAGTGATCAGTGAATGTTGGGCATGGAAACCAACTTCCATTGTTTCTAAATGAGAGAAAAACAATCTTTGTGTTTGGTCTGTGGGGAGAGTATAGCTGGTAAGAAGACCCAATTGGGGAGAAAAACTTTATCAATTCTAATACTGGTTCACCGAACCTGAACATTCATAAACCCAAAGCATGAGTGAATGAAAAGCCAAAATGTCCAGTTTTGTTGTTTTATTATCTCAAAACCGAAGCAGCTTGAACCTGGGATTTAAGTTTAGTCCCTTGGGTACTTAACTACTTTAGAGTTCCGCACTGCTTAGCAGAAGAATAGGTTTTTTTTTTTTTTAACTGAGTGTGTTACTTTATTTTATTGATATAGTTTATTTGATCCAGTGACCATCACATGCTATTAACCTTTAGTTAGGGACTTTATTTATTTATTTATTTTGGAGTGGTTTTGAATAATATACACTAATAACTATATTTTAACTCTCATTTCATTTTTCTAGGAGTCAGAGAATAATAAGTTATGTTCCCTATATTCCTTCCGAAATACGTCTACCTCACCACATAAGCCTGACGAAGGGAGTCGGGAGCGCGAGATAATGAGCAGTGTTACTTTTGGAACCCCGGAACGCCGCAAAGGGAGCCTTGCCGACGTGGTGGATACGCTGAAGCAGAAGAAGCTGGAGGAGATGACTCGGTCGGAACAAGAGGGTATGTGGACTTCCCCTCTGGGCGTTTCTTCTGGCCATAGCAAAATGACCAGAATCCCAAGGGTGCAACAGTCACTCAGAGGTTACTATGGTGATAGCTGACCGAAGTCCATTAGCAGTGCCAAGCAGATAGTCCCGGGTTTCTCAAAACCTGTGCATTTTGCTTTATTTTTACAACACCCCAAGGATTTGAACTTATTTTAACCATCACCCTGAAAAAAGATAGCAAGGGAATTTTCCTAACTACAATTTGGGTGCTTTTTCTCCTTTTGGCAGATAGTTTTTTTGTGATCCTATGTCCCATTTAAAAACCAAATGAGCCTTCTTTTTCTAATGCATTTTTCCTGCCATTTTATGGCTGTTACACATTTTAAATTTTATGTTCACCTTGAATGTTGGAATAGACTGAAGAGGTGCTAATGACCTCTGAGGGGCTTTGATGTGGCACCTGCCATAGTGTCCTGCGCTCAATATCTCAACAGTAGTCTTCGGTAGACTATTCAACAAAATGCTTTGTGTGGTTATTACAGTGACTGTGTGCATGTGTTCTTTATCTGTGTACTTCAGGCCTAACAGTCCTGGAGTTTTCACTTGTAAGTGAAATTTTGACCTCCAAGGCACTGTAGAGGAACTAGGATTTGATGAGCTGATAGTGCCCACCTAACTTAATTTTGTTCTTGTAAAGATTTAAAGTTTGTCTTTAATTGATCTTGCTGATGTCCTTGTCATGTCAACCAGATTATTGGCATGTCCATAGATGCTTTTGACGACCCAGCGTTGCTCTGCGGTAACTTAGGAACTGCAGCCCTAACACCTGCTTGATTTCAAGTTCTTTAGTTTCTCTAAGTCACAGAATTCAAAAGTTACTGTGGTCCTGTGTTTGACATGGTAACTCAAACATTTTGAGAATTAACTCAGACAATGAATATAAAAGTCTCTTATAAGCTGCAAACTATGTGATTTTGAGACATATCTGATAATTATCACATTATAAATGTCAATTATTCCACTGTACTTTAATGTAATAATGCCTATGGAGACCACTGAGGTAGTCAGGATGTTCATCTTTACAGTCGCTTCTCTTCATTTACAGACCTTTAGAGTTTTTGTGTTTGCTTGATGCATACATCCATATGTATCTTTTTATACATCCATGTGTGAGTGTGGCTTTTTTGTCACCTGTGGCTGTGCGTGCATGTGTGCTCAGATGCACTCACTGATTGCTTCTTCAACATTAGGTGACAAGCTGTTTATTTCTTTCCAACTTATTAGTAAGTTCTAGTATGTTTATCCCACTTATCTTTAGATTGTGAAATAAGACAATTGGTACATAATGGTCTTTATTTAAAACATGAACAAATGTGCTCCAGAGAATGAACAATTATGGAGAACATGTGATCATTAGGGTGTGAACTCTGTGCTGACTCTTCTGCTTTTTCAGAGTTTTATTTTTCCCTAACTCCCTCCAACAGTCTACTGAAGCCTATATTTTTCCTTCCTTAGAGGCATGGTAAACTCAGAAAATAAAATACTAGACTTGGAGAGAAGTGAGTTATATTAAACTGCCAAATAATTTTTAAAATGTGATAAGGCAGAATGTGATCCTCCACTAATACAGTAAAATAAATTTTAAGGTAGGACCCATCAATGCCATTCTAGTTTAGCATCTACAGTTTTAATGAGAACAGTGGGATAAAGAGTTGCCTGTTGTTGGTGTGATGACATTATAGTAGCCACAGTAGACTGTTGTTTTCACGCATTACTTAAGGACACGCAAAAATTTCCATCTGAGCAAGGTTGCCTTTCCATCTGAGTTCTGTCAGCCCATATCTCTTGAGGTCTGTGGACTCAATATTGAGATCTCTGATGCTAGATGCTATGCTATGCTCACAATGCATAAGACAGTAATCTCTTATTTTAAACAATTCATATTCTAGTAAAAGGTGTAAACATAAATTGAATGAAGTCTAGTTTGAAGTCTAACAGTGGCAGGTTCCATGGAAGCAGTACAGATAAAATGTTTGGGGTGTTTACAAGGAAGGAAGGTTCTATGGGGAATAACTCCTAACTAGTCATGGAGAATGAAAGGGTCTCTATAGGTGGAATGCATGGGAGAGACATTTCAGGCTGAGGAACAGGCATTGCACTTAAAGCAGCCATGAAAATTCCAACTTGAGTTGAATTTGCATGTGATATATAAAGATGAAAAAACTAGCCCATGTTCAGATGGTGACAGGCTTTGCAGTTTGGGCTAAGGAATTCTAATGCTATATTGAAAACAATGGAGGAACTGCTGAGTGTTTTATCCTAGGAAGAAAAGGATTGGAACTTTCCTCAGAGAAAGTGAATCTGGCATTTAGGTGTAGGGTGGATGGAAGCAGGGACAGGCATTAAGGACATTGTTCTAGGCTAGAGCTGGTAGGTGCCTCAACTAAGCCAGCAGAAATGGGAAGGAGGGCTGCATATGGAGGTGGAATCAGGAGAGGCATTGACAAGATGATGCATAAGTGTGAAAACCAAGAGGATGTCCAACTGGATCTTGGTGGTAATACAATCAGTAAAAGAAATGAACAAATATGGTTTGCAAATGGGAGCAAGGCATGGCTTCTAATTTTTATTGAGTTTTATGATTTTTTTAGTTTGAATCCCATTTTTAAGTGTGTGTGTGCATGTATACACATACCCAAGTGTCTTTATACAACATACCTTCCTTAGTGACTGTGGGAAGGTTGGAGGACAGCTTCAAGTGTCAGCCCTGACTTTGCACCCTATTGCAGGTAGCATTTCTTGTTGATTGTCTCTCTGGATATCAGGCTAACTGCCCTACAAGCTACCAAGAACTGTCCCATCTCATCCTCTCTGGTTGCATGGGCATGCTGGGATTATAAATGCCCACCACTATGTCCATCATTACATGTGTGCCGGGATTGTGAACTCATGTCTTGGCACTCTTACAGTTAGTGCTATACCCACTCAGTCACCTCTTCAGTCCTGAATACTAATTCCAGTTATCTTCTGGTAGTAGAATAGAATGATATACTGGGAGAACAAAGAGATATAGAGAGATTATTAAAATGTAGGTTTGATTTCTGATTCTAAAATGAGTATAGCATAGGTCTCTGGAGGTCAAACAGTTATCCCAGCATCTGCTTGACTTTGGCTCTTTAAAGACTCGGGTCCAGCCCCTCAGGTGAGACATGCCAACTTACAGGGCATGTAAGAGTTTTCACATGTGTCTTCTGTTTCTGCCTTATGTCTCCTTCATGGCTTGAGGGTCATATTTTAGGATCAGCTGATTGACAAGCCTGTATGGATTACATGATAAATGAAGACCTTTCTGGAGTTATTCCCAGAGAATGCTTCGACTCTTTATCAAATTAAAAGCACCTCCTTCTCATTCCTCTTAGTGAAGAAGCTCATCTATATGAAGTTTATCCCTGTCCATTTTAAACCATTGCTCACATGACAAAACAGCAATGTTCCAGGTGGAGGCCTTCGTTCACTGTATTACTGTTCTCCACGAGCCTTGCTCTGACTGGATTGCAGAGAATCTGATGAACAATGACATTCTGTCAGAAGCACCCCCCTCTAACAGTGAAGCCGATGGGAAGATGAACAGAGGTTCCACCTTTTGTGAATTTAACTTTGATTTAGTGTCATAAGTAGACGAATGGGTAGGTGGCAGGTAGGGAAAGGGTGAGAAGATAAACACAGGGGTGGGCTGAATGAATCAGAAGCTTCTTTATAAAAGCCTATTGCTACTGGTGGGGAGAGCACACAGAAAGGCTTTGATTAATAGAGTCAGGTTAGAATGCTTCCAAGATAAAAATCCTTCGGCTGTGATTAAATGATGAATTCTAGTTATCCTTGTGTCACCCATCTTGTTGCCAGCGTAACTGGGTCCTAACATAAGCGACAGTTGTCAGAAAATGAATACTTAAAAAGGACTTCTATATCTAAATACATATATTTAATCAGAGAGTCCTTTGGCTTCTGAAAATAAGTTGTCTAATGAGAATTTCATTTGAGCAGCTGTGACTGAGGAGGTCAACAGGCAGCGCTAGGAGAATATGGCCCAGCTGGTTAAATGTGGTGGCTGTCGTGATTTAAACGGTCAAGTGCTGCTTGTAATCCAGGACCGTCTGTTTGTGGAGGGAAGAGCGAGTGCTTCAGCATAATGTACAGCTGTTTAATCTCTCTTTAATAATAGAGTTCCAGTCACTGTCATGTCTTGTGTACCACACTACTAAGTATATGATCCCGGGCCCCTGGGATGGGTTGCAGTCAAGAGTGGGAGTCACATGAGGGACAAGGACACAACAGGAAAACTCTCAAGTGTCTGACAAGACTTTCTGACTCTCTGCACTTTTCAAGACTCCCCTTTGGGTATTAATTACTGTTATCATGGGAAAGCAATGGTGCTTGGAATTAGGCAGAAATATCAGAGTGGCTGAAGTCTTTTTGGAGAGCATGGAGAGCACACAGCTTAAGCAGGGTTCCATAGACATGACTGGGTCAGAGACTAGAGTATGAATTTGCTCCATTGAATGGTGTGCCTTAGACCATCAAGGTGATGCAAACACATAGATCCATCTTGCTGTGCTCACACACAAAGGGCAGTGAGCTTGGGCTTCTGGTAAGACAATATTCTCAAAGGATGCTGTAATTGTTAGGAATACCAGAATGATTGTCTGTCTCTGTGTATAGCAGGCACACTGGTATCATTTACATTTCTAAGCAGTCATCTGGTCTGTGTTCCCAATGAAGTGTAGGGTATATGTTATATATTTCATTGTACTAAAGGTGCTGTCTAGTGTAGTTAAAATGATGAGAAAATTCAGCTTTGAAAGTCATATGTTAGATTGGGGTAGATCTGGATTTGAGTCCAAGATTCATGAAACTCATAAAAACACTACAAACTGCCACATGGAGTTAGAGCTGGAGCTAAAGCAAGATACTGGAGTTTGTGGTCACTCAGCATTTATAACTTGAACTCCAGGG